GCCAGAAGCCTTAGTCAATCTTTTGTCTTGGCAAGGAATCTGCGCCCTTGAACCCTCACAGTCAAAGGTTGTTGTCCGCTGCAGCGAGGAAACCAAAGGTGGATTCCCGAGACCCAGCTGCTGAGCCAGCAGATGGGAAAGGCAAGAAGAGGGAGAATACAGACACTGAGGGTTCAAGACCGAAGGCCAAAGCCAAGGCCTCATGCAAGGTCAGGCCAAAGCCGACGTCGGAGGACCAAGGTGCAGCAAAGAATGTTTACTCGGAAGCGAAAGCCAAGTTCATGGAGTTGTTTCTCGCCTTTTCCTAGCCTACATTGCAGAGTTCATTTTACCTCTTCAATTCTGTGTATTAATTTGAGAGACACACGACGTCACACGACATTATATAAGGTTGAAGGATGAGAAGATCAATAAGAAAGAGAAGGAAACCAGGCACAATGGTGTAGGTTACAAAAACACAAACACCATTCCCTTTTTTGTGACAAAGCAAAAAAATGAAAAGTATCCTGCGCCTACCTACCTACCCAACGGTTTTGTGAGGTGGACTTCCAGCAAAGAGTTTGTGGATGTGATCACAACCATCGGGGTTCCGGAAGCCAAGCGCCGCAAGTACATCAAGAAGGATGACCCGCGTTTTGCAGTGTCTGAAGTGGCTGAAAGTGCCACCTAAAGATCAGTGATTCTGCGCTGCTCACGAACTCTTCATGGGCTTTTTGGGGGGGTTGGATTTTAAAAAATCCATTTCAGCTGAGTGTGTGTGTGAACTTGCACATGCTCGCTATCATTAGCAAAGCCTTCAGTGGCAACCGGGGTGGAAATTCATGTTTGGTTGAACGTGTGAATGCACACGTTCGCTCGTTCGCTATCGATCGATCAACAGCAGCATCGATAAAGTGCCACCCAGTCACGCATGACTGTAGAAGCTCTGAACTCTGAATGCAGTGTAGCAGTTTGTCCTTGTGGCAAAGAACTCGATTCACAAAGGGACGTTTTGGCTTGGCATCTCAGTAGCCGGATTGCAATGAAATTCAGCAATTTGGCGATTCCTTTGGCTACCCTGTTGGCCAGTTCCTGGTTCGCAAGGGTCCCATAGAAGCTTATAACATGACTTGGAGAATCCTGTTGTTTTTGTGACTCTGGTCCTCCCAAACTGTCACCCAACACTTGATGTACTCTTCAGGCTTTGGCGAAGTATCCCCTACCGACGGACTTCATTTTCTTGAAGTCTTCTCAGGCCGAAACAATGGAACATCACATGTTAACCGCATTCTTGTTTCAACCCTAGTTGTCTGGGCCAACAGTCCAAGGCGCTCATGTTCTTCATGATGGCGTGGAGGGATTTGGTCTCCAGTCACGATGCTTCGATGTTCCTTAGATCATGTGAGAGGTTGTTCAAGGTTTTCGCATGGATGTTTTTGCATGAATGCGGTGGTTTGGATTTGGACCGCGTCTGACCCCTGTGCACCCACTGTAGGTGTCTTATTCTTCCAAAATGGACCTTGCCACTGCCTTTGGCATGCTTCTTTTGATTCACCAAATCAGGCGAGTTTTTGAAGGTGGTACCGTGTGGTATGGAATGCCATGCTGCAGCTGGATCTTTTTGTGCCTCGTTTGTTTCATTCAATCGTTTCCACGTATGATGACACGTGTAGAACAGTCTTTATAGTGCGCTTGTTTTTGGTGAGCATCAACAATAACAAACCTGTGCGTGACGGTGTCTCTTCGAGGTCTCGTGGAAGTACAAAACGTGCACACTGGCGCGTGAACGGAGAGACCAAACATTCATCTGTTCGCCTTGCAAACAAATTGGCTAGGAGGCTCGCTTACATGCTTGTCCTCCATGAGAAGAAAAAACAATTCTATATCATAGAGAACCCCTTGTCTTCACTGTTGTGGCGTTTCAACTCTCTTCGCCGTGTCCTACGAAGACACAAAGCTCGGATGGTCACAGTGATGCTTGGAGCCTATGGCGCCCCAACAGCCAAACCAGTTCCTTGATCTAGTTACCAACGTGCGCACACATGGCAGAGCTACTAGCTACTCACAAGATCTCTTGGGCTAATGCGCGCGCATTCTAATTCTTCGAGCGACTGCTAAGTAGCTGAAGTAGTGGCACATCAGGTTGTGTTCTGTGGAACTGCTCCTTGGATGGACCAGCTGGCTCGTACGTTGGACCGTGGGACAAGGCCTGCTATGATAATCACTGTTTGCCAGTGTGAGTGTTGGTGCATGTGGAACCTGCGTTACCAGAAATGTAAGTCAGTGAAGCTGCCTCCTAGCCACATGTGCTCCTCGCAGGATCCGCTTGGACAAGGTGAGAAAATTTCTCAAGATCCAAACCGTGAAGAAGTACACCTGCCCCTACACAGGAACTCCAAGAGTCTGTGGTGGGAAAGACTTACGTGCCACACAAGTCTACCCTGGCTCTTTGGGAATTGCAGCATCTCGCTGGCGAAATCGTGGAACACGGAAGTGTCGTCTGGAGGGCTCCATTGGGACATGTCTTAACGCCTGCCACCCCAAAAACACACACACACAGAAATGTAATGCCATGTTGCAAGGCCATAGCCACCAGTCCAATCCAGCTGTCGGGGCACGTCTCCTCAGAGGTTTGAGCAAACTGAACAATAGCAAAAACAACTTTTTTCAAGACCTTGCGTGGGCTGCCTGTCTATTGTCTTTATGGCCACGTACCCCCCCTCCCCCCCTGGTTTTCCTTTTTCCATGAACTAACCTCTGTATGGTCTCCCACTTCATGTACATATATGACTGATACATTTGGTTCAAGACTGAGAAAAGCCGCTTGCTATCGCAACCGAATTCGACCGGAGTCCGAGCATCGTCCGAACGGACCTCTCTCGAGAACGTGTTCTTTCCAAGGGAAATCCACCACCCCAAAAAATACAATCCAGATTTTCCAGGCCATATATAGCCACGACCCATCCAATCCAGTTGTCGGCCCGAGACTCACTTGAACAACAAGACCACTGTTCTCAGACCTTGTGTGGGCTGCTTGTCTATTGTCTTTATGGCTGCCACCCCAAAAAGCACATCCATAAATTCCAGCCATGTTTCAAGGCCATAGCCATGACCCATCCAATCCAGTTGTCGGGGCACGCGCGTCTCCTCAGATTTTTGAGCAAACCCCGGAGAACCTGTGGGTTGCTTGTGGTCAATACACGCAGACCATGTGTAGTACCATGTGTAGTTGGCTTTTGGCCAATCATCGCTGTAAAACAATATCTCCGCAACACCTTCTGCGACATATAAATAAAGAAATAATATATGTATATATAATATATATATTCTGTAGAACACGGAGTCACTGTTACGTGCGCAGTCGTCTGTTAGGCGGCGTTACATGTTGTCCAAGATTGTGTCCAAGCAGCTGTGGGCTCCATCCCTTCCAAGCTCAGGTGGGCCAACAAGTCAAAGAGCACTTTGACAAGTGCGGGGCGCTACAAGTTGTCCAAGATGGTGGGTTACGATTTGAAGATTCCGGGAGTGACACGGATGACTCTGGCCTAGGTGGCCTTGCTTTGTAGCTGTGGAAGTGTTTCAAGATTGCAGCTTGCGATGCGCTAGCCACTAATTAACTTCCATACAGGAAACGTGCGATGGATTGGGGCCTTCGCTTGAAAATGTAGTGTCTGTATCTTTTTTTGTAGAACGTGCCAGAGCGTGCCAGAGCGTGTAACGGTACACATAACGGCTGTTTTTTCGTGCCCGGCCGTGCCGGGGCGTGCCGGGGTTTCTCGATTTTCTGGTTGTTTTTTTGGTCAAGGTCCAATAGCCTTGTCCGGTCGCCGATTTGCCTGTGCGTGCGTCGATGGCACACTCCATGGAAGCATCGAAGACACCTGAGACTGTGGTCAATGGCGAGACAATGCCGCAAAGCTCTAAAGGGAAAGGGAAGGGAAAGTCGAAGGCATGGTTGAATGCCATGTACGCAAAGGGCCTGCTTGCAAAGGGGAAAGGGACGATGCCTACCAAGGGTGTGAAGGGCATGCTTGGCAAAGGCAAGCTTTCGCTCCTAGGGAAGGGGTTGGTGAACAACGGCGGGGTCGTTGGAGAGAAACCTGTTGAGCCAGCTTCTGCTCCATCACCTTCCTTGGCAGCAACCTCTCCGGCTTCTAGCCCTGCCCTGACTTCGCCTGCGGCGGTTGTGGCTATTACTGTGGAGAAAGGGGGCGCTAGCCCTGCCCAAGTTGTGGGTTGTGAAAAGGGTGGGGCGTCGCCTGCGGCTACCGCGGAGAATGGGGGCGCTAGCCCTGGCACCGAAGCGACTTCGCCTGCGGTTGTTGGGGGTGGTGAGCTGGGTGGGGCGTTGCCTGCGGCTACTGCGGAGAATGGGGGCTCTGACTCTGGCACCTTAGAGACTTCACCTGCGGTTGGGGGGTGGTGAACTGGGCGCTGGTGGCGCTGCGCCTGCCTCGATCGATCGCAAACGTCCTGCTGATTTTGACGAGGCCGGATTTATAGATTGTGTGTTTAACGTTGTTTATGTTTTTGCAATCCAGGCAACTAGCCGTGATGCGAAGCTTCTAAGGCTTGCGTTGAACAATTTGCAACAGCATTGACCCCTGCTGTTTTAGAAGTTCTGCATATGTTCACAAGCTTGCCTTGACTCCGTGAACACTTTGCACAGCACTGACTCCTGCTGTTTTCAAGTTCTTTTTATAGCTCATGCGAGTCACTTTCACACTCGGCGCAGGGGAGTATCAATGCTGTCCGATGGTACTGGGCCAGTTTCTATGGATCCCTTAGGGGTTTCTGATGGCGGCAAAACTAAACGGGTCGGTGTCTCAAACGTGTCACCGTGAGTCTCACGTGGAGTCTGTAGAAACAATATTGAGGTCAAGGTCCTTACCCCGGAGCTCAAGCAACAAATCGAAGCCATTGCCCTATTCGATTCCATGAGATGATTGAGATCTGTATATACCACTATTAGAAATATAATACCTACGTATAGCTCAAGTGTATCTACGACTTGAACTCAGGCCATGAGCAACCCAGAGGAGTTGGAAGAGCTCATGCCTGGGGAGCACAAGAGGCAACGTGAAGCCTTGAGGAGGAAGATCAACAGTAACAAGGGAGGCCAGTTTCTCACCTATATAGGGCAACGACTCTAGATTCGGTTTGCCGTCAGGTTTGCAGCCAGGGCTCGTGGAAAAGTACAATGCGGCAAAGACCGACCAGGAGAAGCCAGAAACTCAATCTGTTCCATCGAAGTATACCTCGGTTGGATCTTCTACTTGCTTCAACCTGATCCATCAAAAAGTCATTGGTTAGATCTTGTTGTTGCGACAAGGTTCGCCCTTGTGAAAGCCTTTATCATGGATCCTACAATGGACTCAGTGGAGGTCGAAGCATTTTATATTCAGCCGGTTCCCTAGCCACAGTTTCCACTTACAACTATTTTGGGGCGGTCTCCTCAACATCCACTCCAAGGCAATCAAAGGAGAAGAGTCGGGGCATCTGGGTGGAACTGCCACTGTCCGAGTTGGAGCAGAAATACAACACCCCCGAAGACCGTGAGTGGTTGCAAAAACAAGTTGTGGCCCGCAGGGGCCCCAGCATTCGAAAGCATGTTTGGGGATCCTATTCAAACGTTTGTCCAAACACAGTGCGGAGTCAATCTTTAAACTTTTCGAGGTCAAGCCGGGACTCCCCATCCTCAGGTGCACATAGAGCAGTTTCCAGGCACACATCTATTCCCACTGTTCTGGCATTGGTGCCAGGATCCGACAAATCCCAGGAAGCGGATCTACAAAGTCTTCGAGAAGTTTGAACACTCAAGTATTTGGCTGAGATTGCCAAGCAAACATGTATAGAGCTAATCCTGGACATGGTCTTGTGTGGAAGTACTGCTCCTTTGGAGTAATGTTTCTTTGTTTGTTGAACCTGCACAGGTGTCGGGGGTTGTAGGGGGTATATAGGGTCTACTTTCGTTTGGCGCATTGCGCCCGAGGCGAGAACTCCAAATTGGTCGGATCCTATCTTTCCGCCAAAAGCCGAGTGGCGGCGAACAAAGCTCAGAGACAGTCCTTGGCAGACCACATCACTCATGACGCAGCAGGTTTTGGAGACCACGTGAAACCGATGATGGCTGTGGAGGAGCAACCCGGACCCAGAAAACCAAGGGTGCCAAAGACACCTAAGGTGCTTTAATTGCATCTAGATGATTTTCACAGTGACATCTGAAATCCCGAACAAATCATACCCAAATTTAGTTTTGTCATTTGGTAGGTGTTGACAGCGGAGCAGCAAGAGAAGAAGGACTTTGACAAAGATCTACAGGGGTAGATTACTCAGAACAATCTTTTCTTTAGAGCAATGTTTGGAAACCGACCTTCAAGGATCAACCAGATGTCGAACAAGGCCCGCGTGGTTGCAAGGGCTCTGACGGATCTCCATATCTCCAACCTGGAGGCGTCGTGCCTCAAAAACCCTACATGCTGAGAAGCACTGTGTGCGATGAACCGTTTTTGTTTTTCCACACCGTGATATATCCAGAAACGCATGTCCTAGTTTCCTGCAGGCGACTATCTCATCGATGGGTAAACTGCACATGGAATTGGAGAGCATTCTGAGCGAGTCTGGACCATGGACTCTTTTAAGTTGTAGTTTTCTTGGGCAATGGTTGCGGACTGGCAAGGTTCAACAAGGACATTTTCGACTCACTCCCCTTCAGCCAGCTAGTGGTCAAGATGAAATCAAAGCGAGGCCGGCTGCAGGCCAGCTTCGAATATGTTGCAGAGTGAGGTAGCGCGATGGGATGCGAATCTCATAGCCTCAGCTTGTGCGGAGGCCATCCACAAGGAAGTCGACGACGCTGACACCCTCTGCAAAAGTATTCAACGTCGTTGGGGGCTCAACCAGCTGTGGAATATCTCATACCCGTTAGAACTGCAATTCGCAGGAAAAGCGGCTGATAAGAAGAGAGAAGAAAACAAGGGCATCCCCAAGAAGAAAGCAAAGGCGAAGGTGCAATTGTAAAAACATGTATGCAAATGTCAAGATATACAATGTTTTTTGGCGGGGGGGCGTCTTATCATCAGCGTGGCTCACGGCAGGCGAAAAGGAATGCTGGTCCGGACGCAAGCCATGTGGTGAAGTCTGAGCCTGTAGAACCATTCCGTGATGTCGCGGACGATGCCGCGGCCGATGAAGGGTGGGACGAGTGAGATTTCACATGGAGCCAAACTAGGTTTTGGCCTCAAACCTTTTGCTTTGGGAGCATGGTTGCTTTGAAGCAGGCTTAGATTTACGATTGAATGGGCAAACATGTTCAGAGGACATGTAAACCTCGACCTTCCAGCCGTCACTACGACGTTCTAAAACATTTTCGCGCAAATAGTTTCAACTCTTTGGCGTTCTGGTTGGAAGTTTCGGGGCCGGGTCTCAATCCATGACTTACCTGCTCAACGTGCCAAGACAACACTGCTGGAAAAAAATTGATGAGAAATCAAAACAAGAAGTGCTGTTGATAACTAGTAACTAGCTGCTGGATTTGAGATCTGGTGTGTTTTTTCAACTTCGATCTCCGCAACTCTTGCTTTCAGGCAACACACCCCTGAAGGGTGAATGAAATCAAATCAACCTACCTAGAAAGTAATACCCTTTCATGGTCACACCCACAGAACTCACATATAGTGTTCTTGAAACCCTGAGACATAATTTTTTACATTGTGTTTCTCTACCTCTCCTGATGCCAGCGATGGACAGTGCTATCCGGAAAACAATTGCCGACACTGTGGAAGAATTGTTCGACATGCTGGGCAAAGGGGAAGCCAACACCTCAGACTTTTCTTCTTCAAGTCTTTAAGCACGCACTGAAAGTGTAATGTCCAGGTGTTGATGAAGAGGGTGAGGTCCATGGTGAGCTAGAATCCCAGAAGACCGTTGACCCACTCAGATCTCGAGTCAACCCACTTGCTTCCAGGCCGCTTCGACGACTTCCCGCATGCTTTGGTTCCGTGGCCTAGCGGCATGGACGCTGAAAGTGAACGCACATGTATTTTGCGCGAGCCCAGGAAAAGTGTTTTGGCTTTGGCTGACGCCATCAGATCAAAATCCGGCAATAGAGGGATTGGTCCAGTGCTTTGGAAGTGGGCTTCGGAACAGCGGTGGCGTCCCTGACTTAGCATACCTTCAAGTAGTATGGTACCTCCAATGCACCCATTGCATCTAAGCTGATACTCAGGAAAAGCTATGCCTGAACCATTGGAGAACTTTGGAGTTCAACAAACTGTTGATTTGAGTGCTTTGTTGACATATATGTTTCCTGCACGAAAGACCACTCATATACCACCAACACAGGATCAAATTAGAGGTGGAGCCATGACTGCACAAAAGTAAGAGGCGATCTACAATTCTACCATTTTAGCGCCCTAGAAAAACTATCTTCATTCTAAGGCATGGGAGGATTCCCATGGAACCGAATTGAAGGAGATGGTGCAGTGCATGTTCTTGCCACATGAGATCTTTGCTTCATTGTGGAGCTCTGGCCATTCGAATCTGATAACAGGAAACCAGGCCGGTGATGTGGAAAGAGAACTTGATCTTCAAACCCATTCAAAAACACGGTTGCCACACCAGGATCTGGCTTCATATTGGGAGGTCTACAAACAGACTGATTGGTTCAAGTCCCATCCGTTGCTATCAGTGTTTTGCTCAGCAGTTTGGGCCAGCACCTACTGACTGGAGTTGTTGGTTTTTGAGGTTGCGACGCAGGGACAACTGAATAAAATCGCGCCAATGCGTTTCTATGGAGATGGAGCTGAAGCATCCCGTCACTCGATGTACACATGAACACGCTGTCACAGACAAGTTCTTGTGTCAAGAAAACCTGCTTCGACTTCTAGATTCCCAGGTTTTCAAAAATTCGAATTGATGAGTGTCCTTTTCCCTGCCTCGAACGAATCCAGCACATTCTTCTCGCGATTCATGCAGCTTGGCTCCACCCCGTCGGCTGCATCCGCTTCATGGAGCAAAGGTTGAACACAAGTTAGGCAAATGGTTTTGGGATATTTTTTGGCTGAGGGTGACGACCATGAACACAACCTATGCGCGAGCAGGGGCTAGGGATCTGATCTTACAGTATGTGAGCTGGTCATTCAATGCACTTTGCCACTGAGTCTTCAAGCTTATATATGTTCACGCGCGAATGTTTAATGAATGAAGAAACATCAGAGTCCAAACACTCTACAACATCCGAACGATGCCCAGGCGATGGCAAGTTTCCTCAACAAGACCCATTTGGCCGGGAGTTCAGCCCCAGCTATGAACCTTCTCGCTACAAGGTGGCAGGAAAGGAGTTGGCTAGTGGATTCTTGGGGGTTCTGGAAGGCATACAGGCTGACCAAGACTATCTTCGAATAATCTTCAAACTTCAGCACTACTACACCCGCAAAATGTGCTGTCACTATTGTAATGTTATACAATGGGTCTCATCCTCTCCAGCGCCTGGTGAGCCAAACAGTGCCAATGACCTGTTCACTGTGTGGGGACCATCGGAAGAAAACCGGGGGAAACTCTGCAGTCCATTCAGCAGTTTTTTGTGTTGACAATCAACTTCTTCGTGCTTCAGGGTCTCTAGTTTAAGAAGAACAAACAAAAAAAACGTGTTCCCGAGGATTGTGGATTTGCCAACATTCCTTGCCTACCACGGGCACACATCTCTGACGCAAATTGTTGGCTTCACGCCCTCATGTTTCTTGGGCAACTATTTTCACTTCTTCCGAGGTCTTTGTGAACCAAAAGCCGAACAAAAATGTAAGCAAAACCTGCGCATATAGCCAAATCACTTGAAAAAACATTATTGAAATTAAATCAGCTTTTGAGAAAGCGCGTTTCAGCGGATACGTTTGGTCGCACCAAGGCATTCTGCCAGATATTCTCCACATCTCCCATTTATCGCTGTTTCAAGATGCCTACTGCAGCGTCATGCTGGACCTCACGGATGACACCGAATACTTTTATGGAGCTTCGCGGGACATTCGCTTGAGCACTCTTTGGACATCTTATAGATCTTGGTGTGAATCAGAGCGTAAGTCGTCCGAGCAATTGCATCAATTAGAAATCATGTTCAGTGCTTGCGCAATGTCCTCCGAATTCAACGCCTCACTGAGGCATCGGAGATCGCGCAAGCAGGAGATTATTTTCATCTGCAATACTTGTGCCTGGCAAAGGCCAGTTCCCAGAACCAAGTCAGAAGGTGATCTCTGGCACTGCCAGTAGGTACTTCATTTTTTGGATGGCCGGCGTTCTTTCAGAATTGCTAGCTCAGCGCGGAAATCAAAGCTCAATTTTTTTGATGTAACTGGTCTGGCCATTTTTAGTGTTCACCAATCGGTGGCTTTTGACAGAACGCAGCCGACGATCCAAGAGTTTGGCTTTTCAAGGTATGCTGCTGCATGCATTGGAGCGTTGGCATCGATGGAGAAAGTGATGCTGGCTGGTTCCAGAGTCTTGTCTCACACAGAGTGTGCTATCTTCAGACAATCGTACTTTGTGTACAGAAGTTCCTTCAACGTTTTGGCTGGAATGGCACTTGCCCGGAATGTTTGCCGATACCGCCTACGACCCAAGAGCCACCAGCTTGGCCACATCTGTTACCATTTTCTGCCTCGGAACCCCCGGTATTTCAGCAACTACTTAGATGAAGACTTTATCGGCAAGACGAAGGGCTTGGCGGAATCGGCTCACCCTCTGCACATGAGCAAGCATGTTCTCATGCGGTATTGCATTGGTATGTGTTTGAAATTGTGGAACGGAGAATTTTAAGTTGTCAGCAAGATCCATGTCCGATGCAGAAGCAGAAACCTAAGTCACCCAAAGGATGACAGGGCAGCAACACGTCGGATTCTGGAACGCGTCCGAAGTCTAAGTCATCCAAAGGATGGCGCACTGACGGATTCAGAGTGCGATGACAAACGTGAGTTGCTTGAACGTGCTTTTTTTTCTTTCCTTTGGTCCGTTCAAGGTGGTGATATATTGTGGTGTAGATATGTATAGGTGGTGTGGCTCAATGATCGAGAGATAGTGGCCGCATGTTGCAAGTTTAAGGCAACTTTGCTAAAGTGAAGCCTCAGGTTTACAAGAATTGCTCATTTTGTGAGCATCTGTGACAACAATGCACGAAGTTATCAGCCATATTTCACCGCAAG